TGGTCTGGGGCTGACCAAACTTGGTCAGCTCCGGACCAACACACTGAAAACTCCTTTTCATGCTTGTTTCGGTCAAATCTCGTTTCCATTCTTCGTATTCTTCACGTATAAGTCCATCTCTATTGGTGTGTGACCCTGTAGGCCCATTCGCAGTGGCAGCAGCCTCGAGAACCATTCCTGATCTACAAGTCATGGTTAGCCTCTAGCAAGACGCCATGACCACCCATTTAGAATTGAGTTAGAGGTGATCTAACCAAGGCATTAACAGCTCGAATTCTGATCCTTTGTCTCACGATATCATATGTTGAACAAGGGCATGGTTTGAGCCACCCTTCAAGTTCAACTGCTTTCTCGTCTTGGCAAATCGACTAATAAAATAGATGCAACTTCATCTATAGCGTGGCCACGCATTTTCACAGTCCGATTTCCACGAGGGGCCCAGCGACATCTCTCCTGCGTAGGAGGTGACAAGTCCCGTATTGCATGTCTACTATCTGCATATGATTCGTGAACGTATCTGAGCAACGCCGTTATGATCATCCGGTTAAAGACGACGTTTGACGCAGTCAAGACACGTCACTCCTCATATCAGATACTCTAGACATCTCAGGTCTGAGGATCCAAGAACGAACCGCTGTATGAGATTCAAGTCATGACTCTGTCCATGTGACAATCTCATGCGGGTCATCCAGTAACTCGTTCCAAACGAGAACCCATGATTGTGATTTGCATCTAATGCATATGATCATAATCATCTATCACACATCATGCTGGTCTTAATTCATCATTGTTCCCACAATGATAACTGACCAGGGTGTTTAGAATCATTCTATAATGATTCAAGGATGCCGAAATATAACAAACATGCCAATCATATAACGGGGATGTAATGCATTCATAAATCAATGAATCAATACAAAGTCAAAATGTCATATTACGGATTATCCTAGAGCATTACAACCAACAATCTCCCACTATGCTCTATGATCTATCCTACAAGCATCTAATCCCTATACCCTTAACATGACCATCATGTTTTGATGAAGGGAGAGGCTTCGTCAATGGGTCGGTAATATTATCATCTGTCGACACTCTGCTTATCTTCACGTCTCCTCTGTCGATGATTTCTCTGATCAAGTGAAATCGCCTGAGTATGTGTTTGGATCTCTGGTGTGACCGGGGTTCCTTTGCTTGTGCGATCGCACCATTGTTGTCACAGTACAAGTCAATGGGATCTGCAACGCTAGGAATGACCCCCAGGTCTCCCACAAATTTTCTGATCCAAACAGCTTCTTTAGCTGCATCCGATGCTGCTATGTACTCGGCTTCTGTAGTCGAATCTGCAACGGTTGGTTGTTTGGAACTCTTCCAACTAATAGCCCCACCGTTTAGGCAGAAAACGTAACCTGACTGCGATCTGAAGTCATCTCTGTCGGTTTGGAAACTAGCATCGGTATAACCACTTATAGCGAGCTCGTCTTCCAATCCGCCATACACCAAGAACAAATCCTTAGTCCTTCTCAAGTACTTAAGGATGTTCTTGACTGCAATCCAGTGAGCCTCACCTGGTGTAGACTGATATCTACTAGTCATACTCAATGCATATGATACATCCGGACGAGTACATAACATGGCGTACATGATGGATCCAATTGCCGATGCATATGGTATCCTACTCATGCGCTCTTGCTCATCCTGTGTCTTTGGACACTGAGTCTTGCTAAGAGCTACGTCATGTCCCATTGGCAAGGCACCCCTCTTGGAGTCTTGCATCTTGAACCGATTCAAGACCTTGTCAATGTATGTACTCTGACTTAGACCAAGAAGCCTTCTCGATCTATCTCTATAGATCTTGATTCCTAGAATATAGGCGGCTTCTCCTAAGTCCTTCATCGAAAAGACTGATCCTAGCCAGGATTTTACTCCTTGCCATGTAGGAATGTCATTTCCGATGAGCAATATATCATCTACATAAAGCACAAGGAAGACTACTGCGCTCCCACTGACCTTCTTGTAAACGCATGGCTCATCTTCGTTTTGCAGGAAGCCAAACGTTTTGACTGCCTCGTCAAATCGAAGATTCCAGCTCCTCGAAGCCTGCTTCAGTCCATAAATGGATCTCTGAAGTTTGCATACTTTCCGTGGACTCTTAGGATCGACAAAGCCCTCGGGTTGTGTCATGTACACATCCTCGAGCAAATTCCCGTTAAGGAATGCGGTCTTGACGTCCATCTGCCATATCTCGTAGTCATAATACGCAGCTATGGCCAGCAGAATCCGTATGGATTTAAGCATCACGACTGGTGAAAAGGTTTCATCATAGTCTATACCATGAATCTGCCGAAACCCTTTCGCGATGAGTCGTGCCTTATAGGTATGCACGATGCCATCCATGTCGGTTTTCTTCTTGAAAACCCACTTATATCCAATGGTCTTAATACCATCGAATGAGTCGACCAAAGTCCATACTTTGTTGTCGTACATGGACTGCATCTCTGACTCCATGGCCTGGTGCCATTTCTCGGAATCGGAACTCGCCACAGCCTCTGAATACGACGTAGGCTCGCCATGTTCTAACCACATGAGTTCGTCGTTTCCAGTCACAAGAAAACCATATCTTGTAGGCTCTTGGTGAATTCTACCAGATCTCCGAGGTTCACTAGGAGGTGCTGTCTCAACAACTTGTGACACAGGTTGAACTGATTCGCCCTGTTCACTCGGTTCCTCGACTATTTGTGGTTCTCGAACTTCTTCGAGGTCTATTCTACTCCCACTAACTCTCTTGGAGATGAACTCTCTCTCCAAGAAAGATCCATTCCGAGCAACAAACACTTTGTTCTCAGATGGGTT